CCGGAAATGGTTCTCTTGTGTTCTCAACAATAGTAAAGCATTCAATAAATATATATTTGAGCTCAATTCTGAAAAAATACAAACCCAATTAAAAGCATTTGTGTCGAGTTACCGTAGGTCAGTCAGCCCCCACCCTTAGACTGTCCCCACCAAGTTTCATTACAAAGTTACACCCTTGCTGGAAACGACGGACCACGTTCCATCTGTGGGTTGGAAAACCGGTAGGTTTTGCTTATTTTTAAAGCCACTGACCAGACTGGTCATGATTAGCATTTCTGGTTAAAAATAAGCCAACAAGCAGATTATGACACAGAGCATATTGATTAAATTTGCACTGACTGTCTGAGATTTTTAACAAGAAAGACCGGGATTAGAGATATTTTGTCAGCTTTCTGGAGCCTAAATTAATCGTATTGCCTCATTTTTTTTGTCCAAGAAATTCAGATTTTACAGATCCGGTTTTACTGAATGCAGCTTAGATCTTCTGATTTTAGGAATATTTTATAAAATATTGAATAAAAGGAATAATAAAAAGCAGGTCTGACTTCTTTTCTCTAGTATGTGCAGGAGTTGTTTGGCAGCTAACAGGGTTGGGTGTGGGGTTAGCACTGTAAATCAGGCTGGACAAACTGCAGAAAACCCTACGGTGCCTTTGTCTTCTGGGTCCCTGTGGGCAGAAGCTCAGAAGAAATGGAGCAAAGCCACCTGCGTTTCTGCAAAGCCACTTTCACGCACTTTGTTTTTCTTTTTTTCCAACATAAAATGGTAATATCTGCAGCATATGTCCTTCTAAATAAATCCTATCAGTCATTTCTAGTCTTAAGCCTTTTTACAGTCCGTACAAAAAAAAAAAAACACAATACTTCTTATCTCCAATCCCTCCAGTCAGATAAAAATAGTTACACAATAGCAGCAGGAGTCGCTGGATTCTCCACACCAGAAATCCAATAAACATTTTAGGTAACGACTTTTTTTGTGAGGCGACCAAACTTGTATAACTTGCTTGCTCTTCACAAAACCCAGACCGGATCAATATGTTTCTCTCTCTCCTTCATACTCAGCACTGTACCTACAAAGTTTGACACAAACACACACTAAAAAAATAATTAGGATTGTCCCACAAATGTGTGACCGCTGATGCATTTACAAGGGAAGGAAAGGGACAGAGGGAAGAAAAGGAGGGTAACCAAAGCCCCGCATCCATATTGATTAAACAAATTTGCCACAAATCATTTTACAAATGCCCAATGGGGGGCCTATAGAGGGCGGGGGAAATACCCCATTCATGTGTCCTCCCCCGCAGGGCTGAGGCCTCGACTCTTGGCTCGTTTAAGCGTGCTGACAACCTCTGATCCCCCGGCCATCTGCAGTGTGGGCTGACCACTGCTCAGCCGTCTTTGTGTTCCATACTTTAGGAGATTTAAGAGTAAAACTTCTGAGGGTCTGCCTCATTCACGTTTGGTTCCTCATCATTTGCAAAGAACACAAGTCAAACCAAACGCCACAGGTCAAAGAAAGAAATCTGGGGGGGGGGGAATGGAGGCGCTGTTGTTAAGGTTGTGTCGCTCTCTGCAGCTCACAGCAGCTGCCTGGTGTGTTCCTGCAGCGAGTCACACTACTTTAGTTGTACTTCAGCTCCACCCACCCACCCACCCACCACCATGCTGCTCTTTGTGAATGAAAGTGGGTGGAGGCAGGCAGCTATGTGGAGCATGCATGCATGCATGGATCAGTATTTTTGGTTGCAGGTGGGTGTGTGTCCCTGTGCTGAGGGGCTGCCCTGCGAGGGAAAGCAAACATGACGCTGACTTTGCACAAGCTCAACAACCACGTCTGGGCTTTTGTTTCCGGTCGTCTATTTAAGAACATACTATTTTCACTGCTACTGGAAGTGCTTTTATTTTCACTTTAAGTAAATCTGATTCCTTTCAATAAATTTAAAGAAAATAGGCTAAAAGGAACAAGGTTATTGCATGACTTTATTTAAAGCTACTAGACAGACTGCTCTGTAAAATTCCCTTTAGTGTTAGTTTCCTAAAACTTATGCTAATATATGGAGGGAATTTTGTTCCATTATTGTTGCACAGCCATATTGTTTCATAAAAAAAATAATAATTCAGAAATAAACATAAAAAAAAACATAGAATAAAAAAAAAATTTATAGAGTAACTTTGCTTTTTACCTCTGATTCAATTTTTTTAAATTCTTTATGTTTTAATTTTTTTTTTAGATTTTTTTTCATTTATTCCAAAAAAAAGTGAATTAAACATGTTTCCATCTTGTTTGAAGCAAATTTACCAAACAATCATACGTCGCCTTTAGGTTTAGCTGCTATAAACAGGAAGTAGAGGTAGCTAGACCTTCGATCAGTAATGATGGGAGGTTTTAATAAACATGTTGCAACACTTAAATTATGATTGCCACTACCCGAAATACTTTGGTTTTCTTACATTTTTTTTATTCTTTTGCCTTTTTCAAACTTTCTTTTTGAATATTTTTGTATTTGCGTAAATACTGAATATTTTAAAAACAAAAAAAAAGCAATAGCCTTTGGAACATTACTGTGACTGCTCTGAGCATGTCCGATGATGACATCACGTAATACAATGGAGAGAATGTAAAAAGTATCGATTTCTTCCAGAAAAGCGTTCATTGTTTTCTATATAACGTAGTTTAGCACGATTTAATGTTTAAAGTATATAAATAAGTATTTTCAGTACAGTTATCATGCATTTTTTCTGCGATCCGGATCTTATTATTCTGTTCACGCATGTGCAGGACGGATCGCGCTTCTAGGACGAATCGGGTAGTAACACCGATGTTAGCAAGTATTAACGATGGTATATGAAATCAAGAAAGAAAAGAGAACAGTTGTGTGAAATAAAAGATTGCTTTATTAGAAGTAAAGGCGTCTATTTCCTCTTCGGCACTGTTTTTCTCTAAATAAAAAGTCAAAAAACAAAGGTTTTAGGTGAAATTTCTGAAGTTGATTCAAATTACGTTTTTTATATAAAGCTCTTCTAGAGCAGTTCTTCAAAATTAGCATAAAAATCTTGATGAAAAAAACGTTTTTTAGCTAATTTTGATTAATTTTTGTGTCCTTTAGGATGGCATCCACTCCTTAAATAGAAAATAAAAATACAAAAAGAATTTGATTGTGATTATTATCTTTTTTTTTTCACTTTAAGACCAAGTTTGAGTGTTTTTTTGTTTTTTTTTTACCTTTTCAATCAGACATGTACAGGAGGACAGAAATCCTAAAATTGCATTAAAGTGCCCGATGTGTCAAAAAAAAATAATAATACAAATACCTTATCTAACTGAACTTTTTTTAGATTATTTGTTAGAATGCTCAATAATATCTCCATTTTAAAAATTTGAATTTTCTAACAGTAAATTTATGGTTTCGGTTTTATGGGGTTTAATCTTACAGTGGAAACTTAAAATTTCCCTATTTATTCATTTGTTGAAATGACCAAATATTAGAGATAAATAAATATTATGCAGGATCTTTAAGCCACAACAAAAAGACTTAAACTTAGACAACTATTGTCATTTTGTATACGCAGAGTGCATACAAAACAAAATATAATTAATAAAGCTTTCAGACGGTAAATGAGCACTAGCTTAGTAGTGAAAAGGAACATTTCCATTTCATAAAGTGCAGCATTGATGAAATGTAAACAGTGTTGGAGGAAAAACATTGATGTGGAAGTTCATGCTTTATTTCTTAATTAATATGAAGTGAAATGTTTCTATCAATCTTTAAATACACACATTTTTTAAAATGACATTTAATTACTTAATTCCTAATTTTAAATGTATGTTTTATCATTTAATCATTTGGGATGTGCAGTGAGTTTATTCAAATACAATTTATTTATTCAATGTTTGAATCAAATATATACATAATGAATAAGTTGATACATAAATAAAGAAATAGATTAATAAATAAATGTTATATCTGCTCATTTAAATGGAAAATGTATTTATTTAATGGAATTCGTTTGTTTAAATGAGTAAATGTTAGAGATGAAAAAATATCATGCAGGGTCTTTTTAAGCCTTTATAGGTCAAGTTACCATTTTTGATCACTTGCATACCCGTTACAAATGGAGTTCCCACCCCGTCCCTCAGTGAGGTCTAGAATCACAAGATCTATATCCAGCCATTCAGCAAAAACACACATGGGTGTACATCTTATTTTGGCATTTGACCAATTAGATGAGCCCTTGAATGGATACCTACTATAAATTAAGTTGAAAAAAAGTTAAGAATTAAAGAAAAAAGGTTACATACTATTAAAAAGTTAAAAAGTAAAGTTAAAAAGTTAATAAGCCTAGGTAACAATTATATTTATGTTCATAAACTAAAAAATTTAAGTGACAGTATCAGCATTAATGCCTCTAAGGTTATATTGGACAAAAAAAAATGTTTCTTTCACTCTCAGAGTGTTTTTTTATGAATTTCTTATAGAAGCTCTTTTGTTATTTTTCTTAATATATTCGGGCAAGTTGGCATTTCTTGTTTTTACATTGACATTCATTTTTGCTTTATAAATATCAAGATTTGTTTAATGTTCCAAAGGTAATAAGGTCTTGTCCTGGATTCCAATAAAACTATTGGCTTGAAATGTGGAGTATTGCACTGAGTGCCAAAAGGGTTAAGCCGATTTGCAAGACAGGGAAAAAAGTCAAATCCAAAGATCTAACCGTCAACCTTTTCCTCCCCTCAGATTCTCCTATAAATTTGTTCCCTATATGTTATTATGCAAGATATTCTTGAATTAAACCTTTTTTTTCCATTTCTTCCTTTTTTTAAACCCTAAACACACTGAAAGTGCCTTTTATTTGAACTCCTTTAAACCCCCCCCCCTCCCTCAGAAGAAGGAATGGGCATCTTAAAAACAACCCCAGCAGTGACAGCTCCAGTTACCAGACTTATAAAGGATTAGATGCTGCTTCAAAAGCCACAACTCCTCAAAAATAATTGATCACTTTCCTTTTTTCCTTCTCTCTTTTTTAGAACCGTTTTAGATGTTTATACCATTTTACACGCATGCTAACAATTCATCTGGTGCCAGAGTCACTTTGAAACTTTAGTGCGTCTCCTTTCCATTCATGCAGAACGTCCGCCTGGAAATTATTTTGCTGCCGTTCGTGCGGAAGTCGTATGATGAGTGGGCTCACAGGGAGCAGCTGAGCTGAAGAGAACAACAAACAGGTAATGTAATGCTTCCAGCAGCTGTGCAACTCTTCCTATTACTGCACAACACTACTGATTGATAGGAACTGAATGATAGGAATAAGGATTTTTATTTGGTAATTCATGCATTAGGGTTATATTTACTTGCATTGCTTATTTCTCTGTGGAATGTGCATCTAATTGTTTCTGCAGAAACAATTTAAGAACCCAACATCATCACTCATAAATATGCCAGCTGGCTGTTGTGAGCCCAGCAAATTATAGCGACCATGGGACGCACAACTCTTTCCTCTCTCAAAGCTGAACCTTCCCGCTGATTTGTATCCATCCCTGATCTCGATCAACAGTGGGCTCAGGTACCCGGCGGTGTTTGTGAAGTCTGTTCATTACAGTAAAAGAGCCAGCTGCTCTTAAGACAGTAGAGCAGCGGTAGGTCGTTCCATTTCATTTCTGCAGCCGAGTTACGCACAGCTGCTTTTTAGCCGCGGAGACATAAGATCAATATCTTTCTTTTTTTTTTTTCTTGCTTGGTGATGCTGTTTTAGTCGGAGGAGGATGGAGGACCGAGTCAATAGAAAGCTGCTGATAATGAAGAGACAACAGCGTTTTTTTTTATTTAGGCTAGACAGTTAAGATGAAGCATGATGTAAAAAAAGAAAAAGTTCAATTTCACACTTATGAGTCGGCTACGGTTTGTGTTTTTCTGTACATCCATCCTTTCTCCACCCACAGTCGGAAGCACACAATGAGATAAATATACTGCTCCCTTGTTGCCTGCAGATTTTTCTCATAAAAAAAAAAACCCTTTGATAGTTCAACCATCTGGCTGGAGCCAAAAAAAAAAGTCCTCATGAAAGAGGCCCAAATAAGGTCAAGGGTCACTCCCTCCTCAGGTCAGGGGCCCTGGAAGGTTGTTATAGTGGACTTTACTAAAGTTGTCAGCTCAGATATCTTTGACAAATTAAAGCACATTCTTCTGGTTTAACTAGTATTCCTTTACAGTCAAACTACTAACAAATGACACGCTGTACAGGAAAGAGAAACGCCTGAGCGTACAGAACATCAGCGCCCTGAATATTTGAAGATTTATTACTTTATTTTTTTGATTAAACGTAATAGTTTAAACCCACATCCTTCATTTCATAGTTCTGTAACAGCTTTTCCTGTCAGAGCAAAACCGTTATCCATATGTGAACGGCTAAACGCTCTTTACTCAACACATAGTACATTAAAGGTGCAATGACAGGCTGTCATTAACCCCGACCCGTCTCTGTCTCCGTCCAAATGTCCAGGGGATGAAAGGCTCCACCAGGACTTATCTCCCAGAAGCATTTAGCTGACAGCTGTCCGCGTGACAACATGGAGAATCTGCGCGCTAACACCACACAGTTCCAGATACGACTTTTTAATTATGAGGCTGGCTTCACTGAAAATGTAGTGACTACGGTTGAAGAGATTAGAGAAGAATATTTGTTCCAGTTATTTAAGTAGAGAAAAGAGCAGGCTAACTTGCTGCTAACTGCTCATCAGCTGAGATGTAAACCTGCTATTTATTTGAGTACAGGGCAAACAGTGCACACACTAGCATTAGCGGCCTTACTTACTAATTAGCTAGCAATTAGCTGACAACCATGCCAAGTAACTGAATCTGAAAATGTTACCTAAAAAAGAGAGTATTGTTTTACTGGATGCTGATAAAAGAGAAAAAAATATTTTTTCATTGTCGCTAACAGGAGGCTAAAGCTAACTGTATATTAGCTAAGGTGTGCTAAGCTAGCAACAATGTTAAATACTGGCAGCTTCAGAAGGCAAGGCAAATTTATTTGTATAGCACAATTCAGTTAGCCTCGTGAGACCATCCTGATCTCGCGAGCTTTCAAGGTTTCACTCGCAGATCAGCCTGGAGACTCTCCGTTAAAGAAAATTTGGAGCCGTTCACCAAACGAACGTCCAATCAGCGTTGGCTTTGAGGCGGGTTGAGGTGTGACGCAACGAGAAGCGCGACAGTTCAGTGTAAAGAACGTGGTGGCTTCAGCCAATGAAACTAGCATTAGCGTGGCTATCGAGCAAGTTTTATCGGAATTACACAGTATTTCTTCACTATAAGAAGAGCAAAACACTGCTCTGGAGGCTTTTCTCAGAGGAAAAGATGTTTTTGCTCTTCTCCCCACTGGTTTCGGCAAGAGTAGCCTGGCTTGTGGTTGTGTTTTCGTCGTCGCTCTGTTAGTACGTCATATGCTTCGTTGATCTGATTGGTTTATTTGGCCTGTCTATCACCAACATAGGCCAATCAGCTAACCAGTATTTTCGCCCCTTCACAAAATTACTTCAGCGTAAGGTTTCCAGATGGATATGCGGAGCAAATCCATCTGGCGGAGTCAGGTTACAATTCAGTACAAAGACGATGCAAAGTGCTTTACATGATTAAAATATAGGAAAATAAAACAGCATCAAAGCAAGTAGGAAAAAAATACCTAAATAACGGAGAAACAAAAAAGAACATTAAAAACAGTTGGACTAAAGAAAATAAAAAGTTGCACTAATGTTGTTTCAGTTGAACTGTTTAACTAGAACAGTCGAAGGCTCCTAAACAAATGTGTTTTCAGATTTTAGAAGGAGCGCTTCTTTGTGAAAAAATGATGGGCAGGTACGACAGGAGCAGAGCAAGCCTTGAACATGCAGCTACTGGCTTGCTAAACTTTGAGAAATCAGTCATCACGTAAAATATAGATTCGACCCTTATTTGGTGCTTCAATGTTGAATATGGACTTGTATTTTCATTAATGATCCAACACATCTCTGCCTCAAACAAACACAGTAACACTAAAGCTAATAGCAGGCAGCAGAATAAAACGCTCTAAATACTAAGTCTGGTAAAATTGTTGTGGCAAAACCTACGCAGGACCCAATCAGCTCTGCACCTGCTGCTGTTCTCCTTCTTATGCTACGTTCAGATCGCAAGCAGCAAGAGCAGCAAAAACGCGCCTGCTGCTTCACTTTTGATCCTTGTACAAGTTTAGTTCTGACGCGTGGCTGAAGCATCTTTGCTGCTGTAGCTGCGCGGTGGAAAATTTGGGTCTGATGCGTTGGGCGGAGCTACCCTATCATCTCTTTGCCTGTGATCAGTGGGTAAAAAGTAGTTTTAATGTGTTTTTAAGAGAGAAAGTCCTGTGCTGTCAGTTCATCAAGATTACGATTCTGCATTCAAATATTATTTCGCTGTGGGAGCCGCTCAGACCCCCACATACCAGTGGTGTGCTGTCACTAGGAATTAGGGATGGAACGGTTTATGAAAACCGTCCGAACCGTTCGGTTCGGTTCGCGTGTGTTGCGTTCGGTTCAAGCGCTGCTCCTTTTTCTCATAGGCGAAGCGTTTACACTCCAGAGCAGAAGGTGGCGGTACTGCGACCAAAGCCAACCACCAGTAGTAAACAAGAAGAAGAAGAAGCGAAGCAGCGTAGCCGGGTGTAGCAGAAAAAAATCAGTTGTTGTGGAAAATTTTGTGGGTATGGCGAGTGGGAAAGAACAGGAGCTGGAAGACGCGCCAGCAGCACTTTATAGGTCTGCTGTATGGGACCACTTTGCATTTAGAGTTACCTACGATGACGGCGGAAAGAAAGTTGTGGATAAAAGTGCAACAGTGTGCAAGCATTGTGCAACACGTTTTGTTTATGCTAACAGCAACACGACCAACATGTCATGCTAACCCTGAAATCCCTCATACTCCGTCAGCACTCCGCCCCGCTGTGCTCCAGACCGCCTGCACAAAGCAAAGTCTACAGCCTCCACTGTGGCTCCCGTCCGCTCTGAGTTCATTGGAGATCGTAGAGGGCATGCGCCAGATGATTAAATTCAAAGAAGCAAAATATACGGAAATTATCCATGGTTTCCGCGAATCATTAAAAATAATTACAATTCATTAAATTTTTTAGATTTTTCCATTAATTTCATATAAAAAAAAATTCATACATTTTTATAATTTTTATAAAAAAAAAATTTTTCGATGTAACAATAAAAATATACCGAACCGAAAACCGTGACCACGAAACCGTGAACCGAACCGAACCGTGGATTTTGTGAACCGTTCCACCCCTACTAGGAATCCCCTTCAACAGCAGCCTCAGGCTCTGTCGCCTCTTCGCGGTTTGCCGCAACGGCTGGAAGGCGTTTTTTTCATGTACGTAATCCAAACTGCAGGCACCAGCATAATAAAAGTGAACATGTTTTGCCGGCAGGTTTCTGCATTTTAAGTTAATTTAGGCGTTAATAAACTGTTTCAGAGGAGCAGCACTGTGTCTGTCTCCCTGCCAGCTCCTAGATCAGCTTCTCTGATTGGTTGATGTGGCGCGTTGGCAGCAAAAGTTCAATTTTTCCAACTCCAACAGCAGCTGTGTTCTTTTAAAGATTAAATAACACTAATAGACTAACAGTATATAAATAATATACACAATCAAATATGGCTTCTTTTGGGCATTTTCTCCACATTTCCAAGATTTAAAATGTTTCTAGCATCTTCTGTGTATTTTGTGTTAAAATGTTGATATTTTAAAAATCTCCTAATGAGAAAATCTCAGTGAAGATTCATGAAGAACGCAGATGAGTTTGATGCTTGCATCATAGCTCTCATAAAGCACTGACTTAAGAGCATTTAACTCAGACAATTTTTATTAATACTTAGTATATATTTATAAAGTTCTTTACTGCACACTTAAAACAAATAGACCACCTTTAGGTGCAACTGCCGCCAGCGTTTTATCCTCCTGGTAAATATGAACCAGAACCAAAAACTGAGCGTCCCAAATGATCATTTATGAATGTTGACCATAGTCAAGGACAAATTTTCTTTGTTAAGTTTATAATGAAGCAATAGGGGACATTCACAGCTTTTCACCAGATTTCTGCAAGTTAACCATTTACTGAAACTAGTTCACGGCCCCAACATGAACTGGTTCACATATTCACTCTCTGGTTATTGGTGAAAGGTTATAACAATAGTTAATTAACAGGAGGACTGAATC